ATTGAGGCATAAGGTCGGTCGTCGCTCTCTTTCGTGGCTGCTAAGTCTCGGGATTTTTCGGATTTTCCGAGTCTTCCAGCTTGGGAATGGATTCTCACGATGAGACTGATAAATTTCGATGTGTGTCCTGCGTGCTGCGAATGTTCTCCGACTGCCTGCGAAAAAAAATTCCGGAGGAGACTCCGTGATTCCGATCTGCCACGTCCCGTCCTGACAGGTCGTTCGACCGGTTGCCTAACTGGTTGCTCGGTCGGCCACATCGCCCGTTTCGCACGTACTTCCAATACCTGGAATTCTTTCTTCGGTTATCCTGTTGGCATTTCCCCTCGGACGCGAAGATTCACACGAACTTCGTAATAGACATCGTTTGCGTCTTAATGCCCGAAACTCGACTTTTAGACCGAATACGACCGAGTAACACGAGTTCTCGATTCTGACGGCTCTCCCGTGCCCAGCGAACGATCGGCTTGGAGCGCTCGCTGCAGACGATCGGCTCGGAGCGCTCGCTGCAGACGATCGGCTCGGAGCGCTCATTGCTGACGATCCCACTTCGGGACGCCGAATAAGGAAGCATTAATTCGGATGGCACGGACAGACCCACGGACACTATGAGAATACGTCATCACGCCTATCGCGATGACCCTGAAGGGCAAGCAAGAGACCGGTATCATGACGGCCGCGTTCCGTTCTTGCTCCTTCGATCCCGTATCTCGTGTTCAAGGTTACCTCTTCCAAACATTTTCAACTACCCTTGCACACCTACCAAGTAGAGTCGTATGAGATGTATTTGGACAAATTTGACTATATATGAGCCAAACTTGGCTGGAAGGAGTTAAGGGACTTTAAAGGGCGAAGTATGATATGGACTTAACAGTTTCTAAATGTGCTGAATATTGTCATGTTTGTTTTAGATAGAAAGTCCATATATTGTTATATTTGATATCATGCATTAAATCTTTAAACGAAACTCCTGTACGAGTGAAAAGAGTTTGACGTCTATTCCGATCCACGAGCATCTTTTTCCGGGTTGGCTCGTCTCTGTCTCATCTTCCATTCAGCGGTGAAAGTGAGAGGACCCGAAACCCTTCGAGCGAATCCGATCGATTTTCGATCGACGCTTTGCATCACCCTTCGATCACGCGGCTAACGTCGGCTAACGTCGGCTAACGCCGGCTAACGCCGGCTAATGTTCCGGAGTTCGCGAATTCGGGCAGGTGGAGTTTAAAATCCCAAAGGCTATTTCCATCGAAGCTCCAGCTGTAAATCCTTCCCTATTCCTGCCGAGAAAATGTTGGACCTGGGTCATTTCCTAGCAGGTACTTTCCAGCTGGATCGCATCTAATTTTATTAGCCGTTTAAGTAAACTGCTGCTAAAAAAGGACTGAATTCTGCTGTAATCAGCTTTTATTTAGCTGCTACCATAACTGGATTGCAGCAGTAAAAGCGAATGAATCGTTCCCGTCGCCTCTTAAAATTTCAAGCAAAAAGCTTGCTTAATTTAAGGATCTTGTTTAATTTTCAAGTTACTCAGCTGAAATGGGTCTGAATTTACAACTCTGTTTCTAGCTTGGATTATTTTGAGTGGAATCGAATCACTTCCTGTCTACACTTCATCCTCTCGAGAATTTAGCAGTCTGCTGGTTAAACTTTGAGAAACAGACTATAACCTTAAACTTTTCACGAGGATCTCTGGGAGCCAAAGGCTGGCGGCACCGAGCGCGTCACGTCTGTCGGAGCCAATTTTTGTTTGGGATTCAAACTGGGCTCGTATTCTTGAAGAACACGTGCTTTTGAATGAATGCGAAAATTGAATAATAAGATAGATCGAATTCTGAGGTGTCTGAAGACTTCGTTTTGGGTCTTGGAGACAACACTGTAGTAGGTGTAATTTTTTTTTTCACTACTACAAAGAAAACTGAAGTGTTCCAGGGATATGCTGAATATCGCGACAGATGAACTTCTGGCGTCGTTTCTCTCTTTAATAAGAGCGGAAATGCGGATTTCTCTCCTTCTCCCCGAGAGACATTTAGTGAGACTGGAGGAACGGAACGGAATCCCAGTTTCTAACGGGAATCCACTTCCTGTCTCCGTTCCCCGCTGTTTCTCGTAATACTTTCTCCGTCAGGAAGGGAGGAAAATGTCCCCGTCCTTTCCGACGAGTCTAACATGGCGTCGCCTTCCCCATACTCGCCTCGAGATCCAGATCGGTGACGGCGGGGGAAGGGACAGGGGGGGTGGGGGGGGGGGGGGGGGGGGGGGGGGGAAAAAAAAAAATCCTCAATTTTACTTCAGAAGGGGAAATGCCTTCCGTTTCGGAATCTCTTTAGACGCTAGGAGTTGACCCTTCACAATTGGAGGGGGGGTGGGGGGGTTTGAATGGTTCTTTGCACAGGGCAAAAATGAAAAGAAGCAGGAAATGTGAGTGGAAAGATGGCGCGGGGTCTTGTCTCTCTCGGTATTGAAAGTCAAGCACCCGGAGATGGGAGAAGAGAAATCCGGAAGAAGGAAAAGAGAGGAAGAGAGATCCGAGATCGATGTAGTGTTTCCTTTGCGTTGTGCCGTTTTCAAAGAAGACAAATTGGCCGAGGAAAGAGGGATTATGTGAAGACTGGAAGGAAAGTAAATCGGTTGTCACGCACGCCACGAATTTCTCCTTTTTTCCCCCCTCCCTCTCCTGCGATGTGTGTTTCCTGATTCTCCGAGAGGGGAAGCTCCCCTTTCCCCCCCTTTCCCCCCTTTTTTCCCTCCTGAACATCTTAGGGTATATCCTGTCCGAGCTTGAAAAAATTGCACTCTTAGGTTTCTGCTGCACCGGAAGCTAGTCTCTTTTTTTTTTCTAAGAGTGCGCTCGTTGATTTTGAAATGTACCATTATTGAAAATGAGCGAATTAAAAAGAGAAAGGCTCGTGTGGGGAACGAATGTGACAGTTCCATTCAAATTGCGGGCTTCCATATACCACATGAAATAGTAATGATGCGATGCTCTTCTACTCTTGGGTAATACTTGCTTTTTTTTTTTAGGAGCTCGAGTGGCACTGACAGGGAATGGACCCCCAAAACCCATAAGCGGAATCGACTCAATTTGAGGGCAGTTAGGAGAGGCGGAATCGGATTGCAGGGTGAGTTTTTGCAGAACGTCGAATCTCTTTAAACATGGTTCGTGTGTCAAAGAACCAGGGACTGAGGTCATCTCGAGGGGAGAAATCTCTTCTGAATATCGATTGAATTTTGAAGAGACTCATTCTTCAATCTCAAAATCCCCGTTTAGATGAGAGGGGAGATACAAATAGATGAACGTGGAATACATGATAAATAAATAAATAAATAAATAAAAAACATTTTACGCAGGAAAAAAAAAACACGCTTTCGCGTCCCGACGCTGATGCGATGAATTCGGCTTCCTGCATCCGGTTTTTAGGGAAACGTTTTCTCGTGTTACTTTCCCATAGAAAATTAACCTCGCAATTGCGGATGATGTAGAGATGCACATCCTTGACAGCGTGGGACGAACCGAGGAAAATTACGTTATTCTTTTGCATCAGTGTCGAGTCTTCTCGAGAGACCGAGCATATGGCTCGACCTATTATGTAGGTCGTGAAGGAAGCGGAATCTGACAAGCCCCAACCGCATTAGGCAATCTTCGCACGATGAATTTCATGCGCCGATTTCGGATGTGCATATTCCAAGGAATAGTTTCAATAGCTCTCACTCGAAAGCGATAGCCTTAACAACGGAAAAAGTCAGTGCTCGAGAGGTTAAAAATCCGTAATTTCACCCACGAACCGTTTCCATCATCTCGCTTCAAGCGGAACACCCAGACGGAGAAAAATCTGTTTTCGTCGCGGCCTCAAAGGGCAGCAACCGCCAAGGAATGCACTTTCAAACGAGACCGAACGAACCAGACGACAGAAGTCTGAAATCGTCGAAGAGGCGAAGCGCCTCTTTACGTTGCTCTCCCCCAGATGCACGGGCGAAGTATGCGGAATTCCTTGGAGAGGCTGTCCCCCTTATTTGTTAGGGGATTCCAGATGGACCCGAGGAATTCTAATCATACTGATGCACGTATTTATGAGAACTCGAAAGCGAGCTCATATTCTATGCATGAAATATTCAGGGCCCCCCCTCGCGCGAGGCATAACCCGCCGCTGATGTATACGTTATCCGGTCGGGCCGGGCAAAGGGAGAAGCTTGATTGAGGGAAGAAGACGAGAAAGATCTAGGGGGAGATGGACATGGGGATCCCCGGGATTGAATTTCCCTCCAGCTAGGGAAAGGCAAGAGGCACAAATAATATGGACCTCCCCCCCTCCCCTCCCCCCCTCTCTAATCAGCTGAAGCTCATTTAGATTCTCCTCTCTCGACTCCGGCTCCTTCCCTCAAGGGGAAGCAGAAGGAGGCAGAAGGAGCAGGGACATCTTTCGATGCCATGCTAACAAGACTCGTCTCGCACTCTCTCGCCCCTACTCGACTGGAGACTCGCATATTTACTTCGAGCTAAATCTGTTAAGATAAAAACCAAATGCGGAGTGAGCTCTGGTCCAGAAATCGAGCCTTGTTTCCTAGCAGGCATCTTGCATCGGTCGAAACAGTAATTATTGCTTTTTTTTTAAAGGGATCCTCACCGATATAGACGTAACATTCGAGCCCTGCAGACCCATTTTTCACGCCAGCAAAGAGGAAGAAAAATGGAGTGGTTTCAAGTTGGTCACCTGGAAAAGATTCTACGACATCTGGACACGTTGCGAGGAAGGCATTGACCCGTGAACGCGTTCGATTAGGGGAAAAAGAAGAAGAAGAAAGCAAAGGGCCCATATGTGTCAGACACACGTCTAATTGTCCATTAGGAAGCCGAGGAAGAGAGTCAACAAGGGAATCAATCTCGTCGGCGCCCAATTTCCTTCAAGAGGGGGTTCCCTAAAGGGGTAACCCCCCTTCAAATTAATGAAGTGATCGTCCCTCCCATTTTTTTTTCCTCCCCCGCGTCCGAAATGAATGCAAGATTCGTTGCTGCTCATTGTGCATTTATGACGGAAATGTGCAAGGAGGAAAAGAGAAGGACAGAGCCGTCAGAGCTCGACCTCTCTCGTCCTAGAAAGAGAAAAGAAACACGATTCAGGCCTGCTGAAATTCCCCCATCTCACCGTGACTCAAGAAAACGATTCTCACTCGCGAAGAGAAGGCAAAAAAAAAGGTAAGAGAAGAAGGAAAAAAAAAAAGGGAGAGAGATCAGGCCGCGATGAAGACCCTCCGGCCGGTTTCGGGTCTGTCAAATTCCGCATAGTCCTCGTCCTCCGAGTCTCTTCGTCGACTTTGAGGCGACGCCGTTTCCGATTCGTCGAGTCGATCTCCTTTGGACCCTCTCAGCATGTTCGCCAGGAGAAGCATTTTCTACAAAAAAAAAACACTTTTTTTTCCTGAACATGATGCTGTGAACTGAAACGTTTGATGTCTCGTGAGACTGACTCTTTTCTCCGCTGCCCCCGTCAAGACCATTCGGAACCTCGGCGAGTAGAAACCCATGAAGAGTAGAATGAGGACACCCTGAAGAAAAAATAAACACTTTTTTCCAACTGCATCACGGAACGCATCCAAATTTCCCCGCAGAACCTCGTATGCGACGCATACCGTGAAGGCATTGAGGAGCTGGAAGAGAGGGTAGAAGCTGGGTTGCTGATCCGACCAATTGAAGTGAAAATACGCGACGACCCCAAAGATCCAAGTGACGTCAAAGTAGAACTGCACGACGACGAGCCCCTTGCAAACCGGCACCAACTCCGCGATGGTGTTATCTTTCCTCAGCCTCGGCGCCGTCAGGTTGCAAGCGACGATCGCGGCCAGCAGGAAGCCGACCTAGACCCGGAGAAAACCGCCCGAAAAAGTCGGTGAAAAAATCGTAAAGGCACCGGAACGGAACGCCCTCGAGGCCTTTCCCGGCCGGAACGGAACGTCCTCGAGGCCTTTCCCCTCCGAACTCACGATGGCGAAGGCGATGAGGGGCCCGAAGAAAATGAGCTTGATGTCGTTGTCGAAAGAGATCATGCAACGAAGGTCCGTCCCGTATCTCATCATGTCCATCAACAATGCCGTCCCCACCGAAACCAAAGGCAAACCTAAACGGAATTCCTCTTCAGTCGGGCTCCTCGTTTTGTTACCCTTTCGATATTCAGCGCAATCGATTTATCATTTTGTATTATTTCTGCCGACACAGCATTCGCAAAACCTCTTGCTTTTCTGTCAAGTCACCCTCATCCACTGAGAGTTTTCCTGAATTTTTATAGTTGTGGTTTCTTTCAAATGCTGCATTTAAAGCGGCCATACGCTCGATATTTTGAAGGAAGTCTCGAGGAACGAAAAATTACCCCAGCAGAAAGCGAAGTACGGCTTGAAAAGTCCTCCGACGATCCCATAGTTGATGGCCAGGAAGCCCGCCAAGGACTCCATGGCGAGCCAAGCCGCAACGGCAGTGTAGAAATAATGAAGAAGAACGGAAACGGCAGTGCACCCGTGTCTGTCGTCCCGGACGAAGTCGCCGACGAGCATGGCCACCGTCCCGAACGTGCAGGCGATCGCCATGTTCATCCGCATCAGGTGGAACTGTTCCCACAGGTGCTCCCTGCATCCGCGGAAGAAAAAACAATCGTGAGATCCCTTCTCCCTCTCGTTTCCCCGACTCGAAAGGAACGAGGGAAAGAAAAGGCCCCGAGACCGGTTGCAGGCGACGACGAGGATGAGAATAACGAGGCAGAGAACGGAGAGACTGAATCCGACGTATCGGATGATCGTCAGCCATGTTGGATCCACTGGTATCAGCTGTTTCAGGAAAACAATAAAAAAAGGGGGCAAAGCCCAGTGAACCATTTTCGAATGGACAGTCATAAATGATACAGGCGAAAATTTATGAGGGATATGAAGCATAAAGGGGAAAGGAGAACGAGACGGTTAGTTTAAAAACGAGAATTAACGAATTAACCATCTTCGGTCCTGATATTTAGCATTTCCCTTTTATGGGGTTATCTAATGAGAAGTGTGTCTTCAGTTTCAACTTTTCTAGATTCTAATGTGTCAAGTTCATCGTATCCGTGAGTTGTGGTAAAAAGAAATACATTTAACGAACTTTGAAGGGGTCGTATGCTCACAAAGCTGACATATCCGGCCCTCGTTTATATAAAAAAGGCTTGCTAAAAAGGGAGATGTCGAATGGCGTTTCCCTGTTCTGGCATCAACGGAAAATGTTGCACCCTTGTAATTAGCAATGATTGTTGAATCTGTAAAACTCAGCCTACGTGTTTGATTACAGGGGTGGCGGGGGAGACGAGCGGGCGAGGAGCCCTCTCAGGCAGATTCTATTCACACTGACAGCCTGACAAGAGTTCCTTCAGAAACTGAATCCACTTTTACTGGTGGATTGAAATGCGCTTCAGCTGATCTAACAGGATCTAACAGGAAAATTGTTACAGGCGGTGGGAATGCCTCTTACGTATTGCTGGATGCGCTGGGAGAGAACGGCATACATGCCGAACTGTTGACATTGACACTTGGTTTCAACCGCGTTGGTATCCAAAACGACGCAGTTTGAAGAGTCCCAGACCCCGTAGTTGAGATATTCCTCGTTGAAACGCACGCACCGCCGGACCATGATCTGTTCGAAATCGAAACCGTTTTGATTCCCTCGAGAGGGCGAGGACCTCCCGACCGAGACGATCTTCTCACGTGGTAACCGTCATCTTCGGTATGGAAGAGAAGCTTCCTGATCTTGGCCGGCTCGGGGTCCAGGTGTTGGAGGTTGATGATGATCCCGCCGCTGTTCGCCAGGTCGGTCGGGTGGATGACGCAGTCCTTGCTCAGTTTCGTCGCGTCGGTGCTCGGCTGCGCCTGCAGCGTCAGGATCCGACTGTCCAGCTGCTGCAGCCCTCCCGACGGAATATTCCTATTTTTGTTTTTATCATTAGCATACGTGTGGACATGGGTCTTCTTTGTTCACGATACGATCATTTATGAGAGCCCAATACAACCCACTACGTCTCTAGCATGAATTCCTCCGGAGGAGACCGTGACGTTATGAGATGGGTCGTCAGAAGTGGGAAGGATTGTTTTGGATCTTAATCTCAGATGCATTATTAAAAAAAAAATTTTCAGGAACGAAACTTCAGCATATCATTGGAGTTGAGGAGTCATGATGTTTGAGATGCCCCACGTTCGAGTAGCCTGCATTTTTTTATAGCGGTTTTGGTTCCGCTTTACAGCCATTCATGTTGAAGTTGCTGCTCGATCGGACCTAACTCGAGTCGGGATCATTTCGGAAAGACTCACAATGGGTTGACCTTGGACGCATCCGTCAAATTGTTCAGGTTTTTGTAATAGCTGCTCACGATGTTGATCGGCCCTTTGTCATAGCAATAGCGGAGGATGCTCGTCGGCACTATAAACGGAGACAAATGCAAGCAGATTCTCGAGGAGCGATTCTAGAACGATTTTTTGGAGGATGGAAGGGACTGTTGGGAGGACTGTTGGGAGGACTGTTGGGAGGACTGTGTGGAGGACTTACTAGTAACGGTGTCCTTGGGATCTCCCCATGCGTCGTACCGGCCGTTGCTGTCCGATTTCTCCCACAGAGGGTCGCTGTAATTCGGCATCGTGAACGTGGCCTGCTTCTCCAACTCCTCTCGACGGATCTTAAGCAACTGCGACACTGGATATTCGCGAGACCGGGAGAATTTCACGGAACGGTTCACGGCGGGATGCAAGAGGCGAATGGGCAGAGCGAGAGGAGACAGGCTGGGGGCGGAGGCAAGCTCCTCGCTTTTCCTTCGTGCGATTCACGAGGATGCGAATTCGATGCAAGAATGTGTTTTTAGGGGTCGAGATTGGAAAGAAGAAGTCTGTCGCTGATAGTGAGAGCTGCTCTACCCCGGAAACGGGTCGAGAAAAGGCTCCGAAAGCACGCCGTCCAGAATATTAAAACCTCGTAGAATGAGTTGAATCATTAAATGAGGCCTGGATCGATCCGCTGGTTTCTCAATGCTTTTAACGCTTTTTTTCCGCTTCCAGCGACTTCCTCCTCTCGTCTGCCTTTTCCAAACGTTTTATTTTCTTCCTGCTTTTCGTATAAACTTGTTTCAACCATTTTGAAAGAAGGATGGATGGGATGCGTTCATCTATCCACTATCCGAAAATTGCTTAATTTGATAGGATTTTGGCATTAAAATTCGGAACCAATGGAGGCCTCGTTCCGAAGCAGGGATTAGAACGATTAATTGAGGAATTCCTTTTGAAAAAATTCAACGGTAATGCCATATTAATGATAGCATGTGGCCGACTGATCTGTCCAAAAATGGTCCCAGTAGGTTGGGACCGACTATGGGAAAGTAGGTCATAAAAAGTTTCGTTTGAAAATGGTGGAACCACGATAAACCAAAGTAGAAAGTGGACATCGCGCTTGCAGTCCGTTTAATACATGATACGACGTGCAGTATAAGTGCAAGTTTTACCGTAAGTGTCCAGGGGGAGATTGAGGGAATATTGCTCCTTGTTGTCTGGCAGACTGAGGGCATCCAGGGTGCTCATGGCATATTTGGTGAAGTCGTTGACCAATCCGATCATGCCAGCCTTGTACCCCGTTTTCGCGATCTCGTCCCACGCATCCTTGTTGGAGTGCATGAGGTTGTCCGACACGGCCGCCGCCGCCTGAACGCGGAAGAAGCCACGCCGTTGATCAGAACCCAGAGGTCAACGGGAGGGGCGGGGCGGGGCGGGGTGGGGCGGGGAGGGAACTGTCTCACCAGGATTCGCTTGGCGAAGGCGTCTTCGGTATAGTTGGGGGCGATGTATTTGCTGTCGGTGATCTGCTGGACGACGCCGAGGAATTTCTCCAAGGATTGCGCGGGCGTGTCGACCTTTGCGCCTGTCACCTGGGCCACTATTTCGCACCAAGGCATACGATTTTTTTTTTTGCCCATCTCTTAGCCTATCTTAGTAAATATGAACTTCTTTCCCTCAAATACTGTAAAGTTTTGATTATATTACCCATGGGGTCCACTTTAGGCGCCACCAGTTGAGAGTTGGACTGAGATTCCAAGAGTCTCCATGCTGAATCTTGAACTGCCTGGTTGCTCAAATCCGCCGTTTTCTACAACCGGCACGTGGCAGTAAGAAAAAAAAGACCCATACCCACGCATTGAAATCTTGCTAGCGTTTCGTTCAAGTCATAATTTTCCTCAACGTAGAATATCTACTTACGAGTGCTGCGATGACGTCATCCACGCTCCTGTCGTTGAACTGCGACTCTGAAAGGACAAGGACACGACCATGATGATTTCGATCGACTACCGATGCAAATCGTGGAAATTTTCAGTCCTAATCGCAGGAGCATCTAAAATAGGTTCCACCAGAGCAACTGGGAAACGGAGAACCGGATCCTTACCGTATCCGCCCAGGAACATCTTGACTCGCGACTGAGGGATGTAGTGCCTCCAGCCGGCGAGTTCGTCGAACTGTCCTCCTCCGAAATCTCTGTAAGTGGGGTTGTCGGCCGTCTTGTGGCATCCGATCATGAGGGTCGGGGGGTTCAGGGTGTTCTTGGGCGAGACCTTCCTCGTCGGCTGTCGTAGAGCCGCCGACTCCTGCATGTTTATCACCAGCTATCCCAGAAACAAATAAATCATGGTATTTTCATGCCGTAGAGTGGCAGACGAAAAAGAGCTGCAGCGATTGCGGACCTCCAACCCGGCACTCCCGTTTAAGGGATTCTGCCAACGCATGGCGACGTTGTTCCACGTGTTGTTCGACAGCGTGTAGATGGTCCTGATCTCGTAGACCGTGCCGTCCTTCAAGGTCAAAGAAGCGACCAGATCCATGCCTTGACGATAGATGGCCAATCCCGGGTGTCCGAGCTCATCTCCCCCTATATGATACGGGACGAGAGAGTCAGCGTGGGAAGAGTCGTTCCCCGTCACCCCTTGTCGAATTGATTCGTACCTGTGCTGATGAGGTACGCTTTGGGGAAATCCGTTGATGGTTTGGTCGCAAATTCATCATTCCAATATACGATTTCCTTGAAGAAGAAGGAGAAGGAGAAACCACTGTCGCTGCAGGAAGCGGGGTCCGAAATGCAATTGTCTCCCGACAACACGAAGTCGTTGTCCACCACGCACTATAACACGACCGTACATTTTCTTGTCAGTACGAAATCGTTGAGAAAGCTATGCCGAATATATTTGTTCCGAGCAGTTCGTACGGAAATGTACCGGCAAGCAAAAGCAACTAGACCCATAGAGACGAAAAGCGTCCATGTTCGAGCGCATTTCGAAAATAGGTAGGGTTGCTAAGAGACAGGCAGGGTGCTAGGAGACGCAGGTAACGTTACCCAACGCTCTATGTACCTTAAGGGATCATTTCATGACCCTGTCGAGATTCGAGAGAATATAGTGATAAAAGTAAAAGCCGCGGAGACGTTCTGGAATGAGAGTAAAATAAAGGACATCGAGAGCTCTTTCAAATTTTTCTTTTCCCGCGAAGTAAATCTTCCCAAGAAAAAACTCCTCTTCTACGGACGTACTCGAGCCGATCGAATCCATTTCTTTTCCCTTCATCGCTCCGTCTCCCCGTGCCACGACAACGACGCAGTGCTTACGATGGGGGAGTCGGCTTAAACTACCTGTCCTCACAGAATAGGGCGAGGAGCAGTGAAGGGGAAAGAAGGGACCATTACGACTCCAGGAGGCACAGGAGCGAGGAGCTTTTTCTTGGAAGAGTATATTTCCCCTTCGATAGGTACTTCCAAGAATACCGTCCGTATTTTGGCTCGTGTTATAGGCACTCCTGTGAGATCTACTGATGGCTCCGCCGGTCTGGGGGATTCCTCGTGTAATTACTTACTCGAGAGGCTTACTTTTTCGGCCATTTTGCTCAGTACAGAGCGTAAATATTAATCCTTTCGGATGGGGTCTCCGTGCAAGCAGCCCATTACATCGACCTGTCGGAACGAATTCAAGGTCTTACGCCATTGCTTTGGTCGGGAATCGAGACGCCTTGTCCGAATCCGAAAGGTCCTTGCGTTGATGAAACCTTGGATTTGAGAGTCGAGTCCGTTGCGTTCTGCAGGGCATCCGGCCACCAGTAATCCGTCGTGTACTGGAACCGATCCTCTGCAGTGATTTATACAATTTTTTTTTATTCTTCAAAATGAGGGATGGATAGGTGTACCGACGAAGTTGACCTTATCAAATATGAACTTACCGTACGGGGGCAAGGTTGGGAGACTCAATGGCGGAGGTTCTGTTCCCGGATGAATTCAGAAAATAAAAATAAACAAAAAAACAGAGGAAGAGTCGGATTAGAGGCCTGAAATGACTAAATCATGCGAGATCAGTAAGTTGGACTAATCCCTGAAAAAGAATTCATGGATTAGCAATGCATGATCGATGATATGATGATGATGATGATGATGATGTGTGAATAGAGAAAGAAGAAGCGGACAACGGACGCAGGTTTCAAGACGGACACAGAAAAGATTTTTGGAGTTTTCGGGATGGGGAAGGGCTGGGGATCTCATTCACTCTCATTCACACCTCATGCATTCTCTTCCAAACCCCCCCAAGAATTTTAATATTATCGTTAAAAAAAAAAGTTCCAAGGACGTCTCTTCTTCTTCCTGGTTCTCGCGCCTCTCCAGATTTGACCTGTGGAGAGAATAAATTAATTTTAAATATTTCTACTTCGCACGAAAATTTCGTTTAAGAGGAAGAAAATCTTCGTTATTGAGGAAAAAGGCTTACAGTCGCGATATTCAAGTTTTATCATTTGATTATTTGTTGTTGACCTTTTAAATTAAAATTTGATCGTTTGTTATTTTGGTTTTGTCCTTGGAAAGGACAATACTTCATTAACTGAATAACATCGAAGTCTTGCTTCGAATTTTTAAAACTCTTCTACGAAATAAGTTATTTACTTTTACTATATACACAGCTGGCAGAGTTCTTGCATTGACGAAAGACATTAACATGCGAGGTGAATAAGTCGAATTTGATAAAGTGTGAAGTCCTCCCACCCGATACCGATGACATAACGATAAGAGGGGGGGAAAGAGTCTCGCGCTTCCCACGCCTACGTCACGGTCATCAAGTTCCCTTTCCACCCCTACTTATGACCCTCCCGCTTCGGGGTTCGTTGACTTCGCGTCGTAGTACCACCCACTGCACAGTCACCTCGATGTTCCCGACCGCGCTGCATCGACCGCACTCCGGTCTCGTCCTCTCGCGATCGCCCTTTCTGTGGTCACGTCGTCCGTGGGCTACTCGAGCCCAAAGGGCCTCTCTGCGGGTATATGTTTTTGGGGCAGCTTTGTAGAGTGATGAGCCGCCATTCGGAACTCTGCAACGTGAGGCACCCTTTTCCTATGCTTGAGTTTTTTTTTCTAAAACTTTTTGGAATCGTATATAGATACCCTGGTGTCGACTGTCACTCTGTTTCCTTTCCACTTTCTTCGCTGTTAAAAATAAATAATATGTACCAGCCAACTTTTTGCGACGAACGCTCGGAATTTCTGCACGGATCCACGAGCAATTTTGAGGAGCCATTCCTAAAGGAGTCACAGAGAAAGTGAGAGATTAAGTCGTCGTTCTTATGAGCGTATTCTGCGATTCCTCGCCTTCATCATAAAACCGAAACCACCGTTTTTCATCGGATTAACCCATCACCTCGAGTCTCGCCATCACCCGATAAACGCCCACAGTAAAAACATTCCCGTCACAAACAAATGAAGACCCGAGCGGAGCAAAAGGCACGGCACTGCATCGACGGGGACGCAGAAGACAGATCGTTCTAGCAACGATGCGGTATCCTGGGACCGATTGACCAATAAACTCAGTTGCCATGGAGAACTCACGCGTTGAAATATCGACCAATCCTTGAAGAACCTGCCCAGGCGACCGATATCAACGCGTTCCGTATCTCGGCAGCATTGTTACTCGGCAAATTTTCACCAGTACTTAGCAACGACGGAAGCCGCCGGATACGCGATCGATGAGCTAAGATGGATGGACTCCATTCTCTATGCAAATTAGGGTCTCTCAGGAAGTTCTCCCCAGAGATTCGGGTATATCGTGGGGAAATAACTTCGTTGGACTTGGGCTTGCAAAGACAGCCTTAACTCTTCCTCACCTTATTTCGAAGCCTTACGGAATGGGCTAGATATATACATAAAAGAAAAATGAAGTTATGCGTCGATTCCATAGGGTTTCTGCCTCGACATGAATCGAGTATAAATAAATAAAACATGGGAGAGCACGAAAGACCTCATAGGTTTTCCATTGCATAATATATCAGACTCGGATTCCTCTTTTGTAGTTTTGTACTGCGACGGTGCGATATCCTTTCACACCAGCTGGGCGCTGAACTCGAGTCACCGAGATAGTCGGCCTTTCGACATTAAGCTGAAAGCGGGGCCGCGAATGCTCCGAGGTTCCGTCGAAATTATGGGTAGTGATGCGATAAGGAGCCAGGCCTTGCTGGATTACGAAGAGTGCCTTCGACCAAAAACACGATAGCGGCGACTGAGGGAAAAGTAGCCTAGGACCCACTTTCGGAGAGATGGAAGATATCGCAGGCATAACAGACGCAATGATCGAGAGCACCCGTGCGAAGAGACCCGGGGAGAGCCCACTCGCCGAATATGCGAGGGGGAGGGGAAAACGAAGTGGATGGAAAAAACAAGCCGAACAATGTTGTTGGGGCAACGTGGACGCATGATGACATAACAAAACCAGTTGCCATAGCGTCAAGTGTTATAAATGCTCTCCCTCGCTGACGACAATCCACGTACGTGAGCAGGCCAACACATCGCCATGCTACGTTGCCCTTGGAGACTACTTCGTGCCAAACACTCTTAAATACAACTCGTTACTCTGGAAACAAACTCAGGGAAACTTTGGGTCGATAGTCGTTTCTGTTTACTGCAAGGTTTCTACACGACCGTTACTACACAACCTGCGGTGTTTCTCACTCGCCGTAATAGTCAATAGACCTATGGGAAGTATGTCAAGAGAATAAAAGTCTTTTCTTTGGCACTCTTGTTTTTCTCACTCAACCTTTCTTGAGTTTATTTCTTGATTGGCTTTTTTTTCAGGGCCTGATCCGGCTAAAGAATGCAGCATCATTTTCCACTTCTTCAATGCAAAACCCACTCATGACGAAAGAGTCATCGCGCAGAACAGTAGGAATTTCGCGACGGGAATTCATAGAGCATCGATCTGGCCCCTCACGAGTCGATCGTCATTCAAGTCTCTTCGCATACATTCCCATTATGAAACCCCTCTAGTTCTTCACGGGGCTCCAGGTTTATCTTTCCACGAATATTGTATTTCGCTCTTCTTGCCCCTCGCATCAGAAGGGGAAGTGGGGTTACAAAAAACCTCGAAAATTACCGTCCAATTCCTATTCCTTATGTTGACATATTGGCAACGAATTCCATTTCTGCCTACTTACTACATCTGTTCTAAACAAGCTCAACAAAGTCAGGCATGGCTTTTTCATTCCTGTAATAAGAAATATTTTATAGAGCAACGGTACGGAGTTAAGATCACGTTCTGGCTCGCTTCTATGCGAGTCAGTAATATGAGATAATTATCATTTGCTGTAGTGCTTTTGTACTGCTTTGGTGCAGTTCATCGGAAGACTCGAGCAGCATGGATTGAGCTCACCGTAAAACAGAGCAAACCGACAGAAAAAGTTTGCATGAAAGTCTGCCCATGAAAGTCGGCTGCTTTCTCGATTCCTCTCGCAGGTGCAGACTTAAAAACAAAATCTGGAACTAACCTCTGTCGGACGAGAGACTCGGCCATCACCTCCAACGAGGGCAAGAACGGCACTGAGACTGGAGGGACCCAGAAAGGCGGCAGGGGGAGTTATTAGATCCAGCAGAGGTACGTGATTGATTGACATGAGGAAGGTCCCATGTCCCTATAGCAACAAAAGAGTCCCCCCCTCATCGCCATGGAGAACATGGACGTAACACTAGATCACAATCCCAACACAAACCGTATCCATGATGATGATACCCCCGCATCGAACTCACAACATTCGTCGCCAGGGACGCGAAATTCACTTTTCATTCCCGCCATCGACCTCTACTAAATGTCCCTGTGCTTGCCGTCTGTACGGAACACGAAGGGACGAGTACGAGCAGAGGCTTTTTCGAGTAATCACCAAAATTGAAGTCGGGATTGCCTCAAAAAGATCCTCGGCTTCGAAGAAAGCATCTTTTGCGTGCCGAGGAAGTCGCAAAAGGGGACAGTTGATTGTACAATAAAAGCAGAACTGGAATAATTTTGAAAATATGAAGGAAAGGCAAATGCGGGCTTCTTCACCTTCAATTTGCGGGAGCATTGGAGCGACAGAAGGGGGAAATTGCCCTCTTCCGCAAACCTCGAGTCCCTCTCTCAATTCCGCACTTTTCTATTCACTTTTGACGTGGTTCCTCAGAGGGAAGGGAGATGGTTCCGAAGTTGAATATCTGGTCTCGGTGATACGCGCATCGCAGTTCCAATGCCGCAATAAACTTGCTGCGATGTGAACAAGGAACTCGATGAAAAGATTTTCCTCCTAAGAGAGGATGAACGGAGGAAGAGAAAGACTGGAAATCTTTCTTCTTCCTTCTCTCATCCATCGCATTCGAGAAGCGAGGATACGTCCTGCCAATTGCTTTCGGGATCTTTCAAATGTAGCTTCCAAAACTAGCCAGTGCATAGTTTAGCTGGATTTAACTGCTTATCTCAGCTTCAAGGTCGAGAAAGGGTTTCCTCATTAACTTAGTGCGTCAATTAAGTTAGTGAGTTAGTGAGTTTAAGTCAATTAAGGGGTGAACTGTTGGGTGAAGGTTTTTCTTTTATTTTCATTATTCAACAAGAAGAGCTACAGTAGATCGATTCTGCTTTTGTTTCTAAGTGCTATTGTATATTGTATTGTATTGTATAGCAGGTCGTGCTGTTCACAGGGGAATCAAAATCAACAATATTACTGTAAGCATTATGGCAAGATGGTTATGAGGTGCATTAGTTGTCAAGGTTGAATGAGCGAGGCCGTGCGGGAAAGACTTTTCGTGCTTTGAGGTAGTTCGTTGCCGGGCCGGTCGAAGATTAGGAAGAATAGGATCGCTGCGGGTGGGATGGAGAAGGAGGACTTTACTGCCAAGCTATTGAGGGTGGATGAGACGCTAGGAGGATTACCCAGGCACGGTAATAGTTATGGAGAAGTGGAATCGTCTGAGGGCCGGGGGAGCCAAATGTGAAGCAGCTATAGGGAGGCGGATGGGGGTTCCTAAGTCCGTTTCTTTTGCAGGGATGGGAAACATTTGAGACGTCCGAGGCGTCAGTGGTCTTACATATTCACTCTTAGGATATTTCAAAATCTGGCTCTGCGATCATCATCTTCAAGTTGAAGTAGATGATTAAGGCGTGTCGCGGTTTAGGCTCAGGGGTAAGGATGATAAGTTGAGCGAATTCCCAATCGAATGGATGAGAGATAAGAGACATGGTTTTCAATCTCAGCAATATATTGAGACAGGTCTGTTTTGCAGAAGAGGCAGTGTTTTTGAACAATCGTGAGGATTTGAAAAAGCGATACGCGTCCGAGATACTGAGTCCATTTCTTCAATGATGGAGCCAGGGCAGCTATGAAAGAAAATGAGGAAATTCCTTCTTTATTTAGCTTCGTAGGTCGGGAGTGAAATTTCCCATGCGCAGAGGTCAGCTACCATGAGTAGCTTTGTATCCATGAAAGGGTGGGAAGGGGGGGGGGGGGGGGGGGGGGGGGGGGGGGGGAAACAATTGGGGGGGGGGGGGGGGGGGGGGGGGGGGGGAGGGGGTAGGGAAGGGAATCAATAGGTTTAGTGCAGGCCTGTGAAATTCACACTCGCCCTCTCAACAAAGACGAATACATTTTACGGTTTGACGAGTAAAAAGGAAAAGCCTGGCTAGTTAAAATCAGATGGTCTGGCGAGTGAAAAGTAAACAAAGAACCATCTACTTTCCCCCCCCCCCCCCCCTCACCCCCCTCCTGTGCAAGTTTACATCGCCATCATTACGTTCGAGACACGTCTTGGCGTAGGTCTAACTGAGCAGGTGCTGCGTTTTCGGTTGTAGGGAGAGTGGGTGGACGGAAAATCTTGCCTGGCTGATGAAAGTAGGGAAAACCTTTTCGGGGCTGGTTCAGTCTTTTTACTCGAAGCTGGCAGCTTACGTAATAATAAAGGATAACCCGAGGGAAGAAGTGCTCATAATAGTGCACGCGATACAAGTAGACTTGGTATAGTTCTCAGATTCGGGATAGGGAATTGCATATTGGAGGCTTTGAAACTTAGGAGAGTTAGGAGAGATTCGAAAGGATGGGTAATGGGGCAATTTTGTGCTAGAAGTGGCAGATCAATATGGCACATCTGCCATCTGCCTTCTGCCACCTGGTGATAAAGAAGTCCATCGCATAAGTCTATGGAATATTCATCTACCAGGGAAAACGTGGTTCTTTGTGAGAAGGAACCATATTGATCTGTCACCTCTAGCATAAAATTACACCATCACCCGTCCTCTCAAATCTTTCTAGAAGCAAAGTTTCAGGTACGTACAGGTACCGATATGTCTAGTTGCTCGGAATGAGTTAATTGTCTGATCATGTCAATTGTTCTTGGGATTTGGTAGGGGATGTGCTTCGGATATAATTCAAGATTCAAGATTCAAGATAGTTAGTGATATCAAGAGGCGATTTCACCCATTTCGATATCACGTTGATGAGATCGCCCCTCCTTAACCTTCGTTCGAGCGAGTACAGTCCCAGTCCCATAATTTATGGGTCATGGCTTTTGCATTATGACACCCTCATTAATTTTGCTACATCATCTTTTGCACGATTCTTTGGGGCAACTCGGGCGCCATCTCTAGGTGCCAGAGTGTTTTGGGGGGAATTACTGGAGAAACAATTCTGAATTTAGTTTTCCCCAGATAACCCACTCATTCAGTAGAATAATTGGGTTTTCAATATTAAAGAGGCTTTAATATTGAAATAAGAGTGCACTGGGTCTAAATTGTCCTTTACAGTAAGAATGGCCTTCACAACCCCGAAGCTACCATTCGTAGGAGAGGCAAGGGCAAGGCAATAGGCGGGATTGAGCTCCATGCACTTGCGCACGTGCACCAACGGTAAGCGATATGGCGGCGCGCTCACTTCTTAGTTCCTCGACCTTAAGGGTCAATATTAGGCAAGCATGGCCTATACATCAATCTTACAAGCCCTTCAAAACTCCAAATTTAAGCCTGACAAAAACCCTACAGCGGATGCAAAGTTCTTCCGCCTCCATCTCATCCAAGTAAGACTTCCGCTCCCCAGTATTTTCTTCCATCTTTGTCCTTTGCTTGTTTTAGACTTAAGCTGTGTGCTTAGGCTGGCTTATCATGAGCTTAGATCTGTGGTAGATATCCGACGTCTAATGTGGAGACTATAGAATTAATAAAAAACTTGGGCTCGAATGAATAAAACTAATTTAGGCGAAATAAAGTGGCCTTAAAGCTAAAGAGAACTTTTTCCTCCATCGGAGACCATGTATTCTTAACCGGTAACGGTTCTGCTTAACCCTTGAACACACATGACGCACTCGTTTGTGTCATGAGAAACTATGCTACAGATATACATGACACTCACTTTTCCCCCGTGAAAAACCCGTATCACAAGAGTAAGTAAAATTAGAGGCAATTGCATTTATGTAGAAAACCGTAGCAGAAACAAAATTTATTTTTTAAAGAGAAAGTTCTGGCTATGACGGGCATGAAATTGTTCAATACCTGGTGTGTTCTGGGGGTTAAAGGACTGTTAACTGAAGAAGGTTTCAGTATTCCTGCCGAAGGCTTCTGGCCAAATTTCAGGCCTAAGGTCAGGCCTAGGCTGAGTATTACCTCAGCCAGATCCAACTTCTTAAGGGGAATTTTCAGCCTTTGCTTTCCTCTCTCCCTTAATCTCATTTAGTCTTTTTAAAATGCAGAGGCAATCTCATTTAATCAATTTTACACTTAATGTAGAGGTAGCATTTTTTACTATCTAATGTGATGCTGCTGAGTCAATATATTTGCCCCATGTGACATAACTGCATTGAAAATATGCCGCATATAAAAAAAAAAGTGTTTTCATGGGGCTGCTTCCCAGTTTAAAATTCCAACTGGAATATTCCAGCTGGACCAAATCTGTAATTTCGGACCATTTCCAGCTGGCAAAGAGCTGGAAAACAGTAGGTACCAGTTGTTTCTTAGCTGGAATTTTCCAACTGGAATGCAGATGGTTTTAATAGCAGTTTCCAGCTGGAAAATTTCCAGTTGGAATTTTATAAAGAGGACCCTATCTGGAATTTTCCAACTGGAATGCAGATGGTTTTAATAGCAGTTTCCAGCTGGAAATTTTCCAGTTGGAATTTTATAAAGAGGACCCTACAGCTGGAATGTAGCTAAATTTACAGTTTAAAATCAGCTGTTACTGTTGATGGACCTCGGCCAAAAATAGTCAAAGAAAAGATTCTCATTCAGTTATATTGCAATTAGGAACAACTCTGGAGTTGACTATTTTCCAGCTGTTGCCCAGTTGGAATGGGTCCGAATTTACAGCTGGAGTCCAGCTGGAAATTATAGCTGTTTCCAGCCAGGATTTTAAACTGGGTGTGAACAGCCTTCTTTATTTTTCAGGAACTTGGAGAAAAAAAGAACAATGCCTATCGGTCTCCCTATCATTATATTGAAGTTCAACCCCCCCCCCTCCCGCACAAGCATCCCCCAACCATCCTTAGTAGCGTACATCATGAGACGATGACATTTCGTCACCTCTGTTCAATGTCATCCAAGTAACCCGCATGGAGA